TAGATCATCCTTTACGATATCCCAAAAATTTTGATAGAACAAAGCTGTCATTCAATCAGGCCCAGGGGATTTCTCAGGATGCATTGCAAAGAGAGCTAATTTACCTTCCCACTCTGAGACCAGAGCTGTTAGACCCGCATTATCTACTGGCGTAATTCTAGTGGTAACTTCTGAAAGTGCATTCTCTATGTCCTCAGGGTTTGGTGATTGGAAATTTTTTCGAAAATAGCTAGTAGCAATGGCTACCAGACCTTCCTCATCCTCCACAATATTCTCATCTGCATCTAATAATTGGGTTATCCTGTTCCTCGCTCTTCGCTGCTTCGTGAGAGCATGGAAAAATTTAGTGTTTCGATCACCCTCCCTTAACCAGAATACCCTGCACTTCTGCTTCCAGAACAATTCCTCCGCTTTAAGGGCGCCAGAAAATTCTTTTAAAGCCACTGCTATCTCCTCTGTAGTGGCATCATCTTTGGAGGATAATCGTCCACTTTTTCCTTTAACTCCTCTACACTTTTCTCTGAATTCAGATTGTGTTGTCTTTTCCAATCGCATAACGCTCGCCTGCAGCTTACAATATGTTCCATAATACTTGCATCCGGTGGGAGATCTGGTGATTTCCATCCCTCAAGTATAATCTGTCTGAGTTCCTCATTCTGAAGCCACCCCTTATCAAATTTAAAATTTTTCGATCTTCGTGTTTTTTTTTAAAGAATATCGGCCAGGATTGGACGATGATCCGAACCCCAAAGCCTCATATATTGCACTTTAGAATGAGGAAAATTCTCATGCCAGTTCTCATTACCCACAGCCCTGTCAAGTCGACATTTAACGGTAGCATTTTCTGCTCTTCGTCCTATCCATGAAAGCATGTTCCCTGTAAAATGGAAATCCATCATACCACAATCACTTAGCATCTGCTTAAAAGGCAAGAAATAACTATTTGTGCGTTGCCTTCCTCCTTCCTTCTCTTCATGACAAGTAATTTCATTAAAATCACCAATCCTAAACCAAGGTCCATTTCTAGTTGTTGAGAAACGCGTAAGACGTTCCCAAACTAAATATCTTCTTTCTACTACATGATTCCCATAAACAAATGTCATATAGAGTTTTATTCCATCAATGACTGCCTAAATCTCAATCATTCTGTTATTCGAAAATAAAATCTTAACTTGAAAATCATCCATAAAAAATAAAGCTAAACCTCCGCTGAGTCCAAGTGGCTACACGGTAAACAAACGATCAAATCCTAAGTCGGCCTGAATGTCTTGCAACAGCAGCTTCCTGTTCTTCATTTCAGAAAGGAACACTAGTCCTGGGCGATGCTTCTGACACATCTCTGTAAGGTGTCGAACTGTGACGTTAGTCACAATCCCTCGACAGTTCCAACTGAGTTTCTTCATGGATGGATATGGGATGGGTTTTTGGACCCCACCGAACCACTTGCTTTGGTTGCCTTAGATCGATCCTCTCTAGCATTATGGCTAAGATGTTTTGGTCTAGCCTTCTCTCCATTGTGCTTCTGAGTAGTAGTACTTAGGACTCACAGCCGTGGAGATCCCCGACGGAGAACCTCTTTCTTCCTAGGAGTTCGCATGTTTCCATTCCTCGCACCTTACAAATTTCTTGAACCTCTTTCCTTCTCAATTTGGCATGAAGAATGTTGTATCTCAGGAGCCTCCAAGTCCATGAGTTCCTCATCAAATAAATCATCCTCCTCATCCATTCTTCCTTCTTCCACATGTAATACTGATTCCATATCAGATAGAGCATCAATTACTCGTGCATCTTCGTCTACGGGCACAGGAATATCAGTGTGGTATGTCAAAGAGCGCACCACACTTTTTGGGCGAAGCGTCACGTTATCCTGCATATTGGGAGAAGTGATCTTGCTTGCTAGATTTTTCTTTTGTGAATTAGCATGAATCACTGTCTGACCATTAGTTTGTCCTCGCGCATTGATTGTGTAGGCTTCATCTTCCGGTACCTTCTCCTGATCATAAGGATCTAAACGAGAAGTCCTTGCCATATTTTCATTGCGTGAACCACTATCCCCAACAGCTACATACTTCCCATGAGTTTTACTTCGGCTGCTAGCTTGACGAGGATAGACGGGACCGGTGATAACATCGGAAACATGAGCACGTGACGTCGTTCCCTTGACTACATTCTGTGGAGCATGATTGTGAACAAAGCCAGGAAATCGTGGGCCTCTGTTCTCAACAGTGTCACTCTTCTCAGAAGGTCCAGATCCACGTCCTTTTTGATGATCAGAGGGATCATCATGTCTATCGGCTGATTCCTTCCGAGCAGGAACAAAATGCGTCATGTCCGTACTCTTCTCACGCCACTCCACCCTGTCATTGGCTCTCCAAGTTTGTGACCCCCCCCCCATTATGGCTTCGCACAGCCCTCTCCGTATGCAGCTGTTCCTCCGTTTTCTTGATTCTCGCACCATCCCGAGTAGAAGAAGCAAAAGACTTCTCCCTCCTATAACTGTCATGTTGGCGAGTATAGAGATACCGGGCCTGTCTGTTACTCTGTCTATCATTACGTCTTTGCATCACCCTGTCCCCGGGATGCTCAGTACCATGACGGTGTGTGAGACCAGCGTCTTTGCTATTGTGAGATCCAGAGCGCCCTACAGAAAAACGTTTGTAGACCTCATCATTGTCGCAAGAAGGACGAAGTCCAATGATGTTGTTAAAACCATATTTTTGCTGTTGATGAGCTTCTGAAGAACTAGCTGTGCCGTTGTTACCAGGAAATGTAAGCCTCATGTTCAGGTCTCTGCGCACAGCCATTTTATTATCCTCCTCTGTTGGTATCACATCTCGAGCTGAACCATTATTCTGCTGAGGTTTCAAAGGACAATGGTCCTTCTCATGTGTTAAAAATCCACAAGTTGTACAATGTTTAAAAAGAAGATCATAGGTTATCTTGAGTGTGACTGCATCTCCTTCCAAGTTTGTAGCCATTCTTGTGAACTTGAGAGGCTTGCACGTGTCGATATCAATAAGCATACGACCCTCCACAAACTCCAGCGTATCAACACGCCCCAAAGTATCCCCTAGACCTTGCAGATTCTTTATTGTCCACAAGTGCAAAGGCACTCCAGATATAGTCACCCAAAAAGGGATAATCCATGGATAGTCATCGTACATTTTCTGTATTGTTATATTTATAAGGGGAGAGTGAACGCACTGAACGGAGGACACACAACTTTTTGCTCGGCAGACATTTAGTTGCATATCGTTATTAATATTTCTTCTCAGAAAATATTTTAAAATAATAAGAATCTAAATAAGCAAAGTTTTTGTAACTAATATATAAATTAATAAAATTTTGTAGTTCAATATTATTAATTATAAAACTTTTACTGTATTTGAGAGTGACATAGTTGTAATAAATTAAAATGACCAAACAGATATAAAAAAAACTCTACAGTATTAACTGTATTGATAAACTTACCACCCTTAAAATATTAAAAAACTGTCTTCAGATAACAATATGGAATCTCAAAAATTTCTGTTACGGACTTTCGTGTAGTTAGGAAATTTTAATATATAAATGAAATCAACTTCACCGTGTGCACTATATGTGATAAAATCAAGATCTAAGAACATTACACTAAACATTGTTCTGTTTTTATTACTATGTATGTCTTTGTAAAATTTCCTTACAATAATATTAATACAGTTAAGTTATTAAAAAAAAACTAAACAGTTCAAAAGCTAATATATGTATTCGTAAGCAAATGGAAATTGAGAAGACAAATAAGTGTAACAAATAGCAACTCTATTTACTAAAGATTGAAATGGAATAAGGTGATAGCATATTTGTTTATACTGAGACATGAAGTTTAGAGACCATCCAGATCAAGAAGGAAAACGGTCTATAATCAAGTATAGTAATGCCCAAAAAACAGCTTCAATCCACTTGAATTTCGTAAGTCCAAATAATCACAGAAGGTGGAACATGAAGATAATCGTAAAGCTAAACTAAAAAGTAGAGATGGCAACTGGGCTCTCCCGTCCTGTCTCGTCTCGGACCGCTGCGGATTTGTCTTCTAGTGGAACACAGCGGGCCTGCCCCGCGCGGGATGTGGTCTTGAAAACAACGTCCCAATCCCGTACTGCATTTCTTGTAGGCCTTCGCGGGCCGTCCCGCAGGACATGTGATAATATGTGCAGCTGAACGATTCAAACCCCTCCGTAACGCTTTAGGCCATTTTAGGACATAGTTCAAGTCGTCGATTCAACTGAACATAATTCATCAATCATTTGTTTGCTTATTTTTTTATTCAAAACAATAATTGTAACTATTTGTATCACAGCCAAAACATATTAACATACAAAGTAAAAATAATTGCAGAAAATATTTTTCATTATCTTATAACTCATAAGTTCATAACCATTGTTTTAGTTTGCTGAATCCAAAAATTAAATAAAATGAAACACTAAACCAAAAATGCCAATCCTAAATTAAATAAAAAAGAAACCAAATCAAAACACTACCAAAACTCGAATCGGCATCACTGGAGCTGTAGTCGTCATCACCGGAGCTCGAATCATTATCACCGAAGCTCAAATCATCATCATCACCCGAGCTCCTTATGTTTTATCAAGGGAAGTCACATGAGTCGTCTTCTTTTCACTCATTCTCTCATTTTTTCCTGGTAACACAAAAAATAAAGAAAAAAAATGCGGGTCCTTGTAATCCCACGGGACCCGTTTCGGCCCATCCCGCAAAAGACCCAGTCCCACAAAGATCCATCCCACAAGGCCCGCAAATTTGCGAGCCTAGAAAACCTCGTCCCAATACCGTCCCGCGACAGTTCTTTACAGGCTAGGCCCGCGGTCCAGATCCATAATTGCTATCTCTACTAAAAAGTATGAAAAGACCACTAAAGAGAAGCAACTTATTTTTTTTCAAATGTGAAAAAAGTGTTAAAAATCAGTCATATGGAATGTGATTTCATTTTGTTTGTAAATAGCATTTCAGAAACTTGACTCGTCAGTTGATGGACGCTTCAAGAAATACCTCAGACTATTAGCAATATCCTACTAATACAATAAAAATGTGGTTTTATTCAGTTAACGGCAACGTAAAAAACATACTCTCTGATATCTGAAAGTTTTACTTGCTGGAGAAGCTTGATTAGGGCTTTGTTTCTGTAAGTTATGTGGAACTTTACCTTAGCCAACAAACCCTGTTTTGTTTGTTTCACAAACAACAAGTAGCAACATTAACAGAAGGAGAGTTGGTTTCAAAATAGTAAACTCAGGGTTACTAAAGTGTACCTCGGTGCCGAATTCTCCAGATTCGACAACAATGTTGATATCTGAAATGATCTTCACCAGCTCAACTAATAGCCCAGGCCTATCGGTTGTTTCTATATAGTAAACTGCATTCTCAACAAAAAAAGATCAATGCTCTATCATAAAATATTAATAATTGGGAAAAGTGAAGATATAGTCTTTGAGAAGTAGACAAGGTATGGGGTTATCATTACCTGCGGTCTGGTCCATCATCTTCAATGTTTATGTGAATTGCAATGTCCTCAACAACCTGTCAGACATCCCAATCCAAAATACTTAACAAAGAAGAAAATGATCTCGAGGCTAACTTTGAAGTTACGTTTTTATTATCTTATTCAGCAAAGATGATTATCTATTCTTTTGTTTTTTCTTTTAAATATTTATACAAAAAACAGCAAGCCTGAAGAGCTTTTCACCTGTTCAGTTGGTGGAAGAACACCAAAAGCTGCTTCCATTGCAAATTGAGAACTTGATTCCTGTTCCAAAATAATCCACAAACAATGTGTGAGTTTAGAAATTTAATACAAGAAGGAAACTTCCATATTGGGAAAAAGTGGTGGTTATACAGAATGAAGCTCAAGCATATTGTTGATGACGGTGAGACGGATGGCCTCAAGCAATTCAGGGTCTTCTACTTTTTTGCACTATCCCTGTTTCAGTTGCAAAAAGATTCAGTCAAATGTCAACTCTCTCTCCCGATTTCATTCTCAAAGTAACATAAACAAATCTAAGAAAGACATACGCTTTGGTAATGGAAAATTTTGTTGTGCTTGCCAGAAGAATCAAGGTAGACATTAACCTTGACAACATTCAGACCCAAGTTCATGAGTGAACTCATCTGGACAAAACATTCGATCAAATAAGAAGGAAAAAAGTAAAAGCAGCAAGTAAGTAAAGGATAATAGTCATTCATTACAGAGTGAAGAAGAGCTCCAAGACGGTCGCGAAATGTAACTTCAACAACGGTCACGTAAATTCGCCTTGCTGATGGTTAATGAGTCCCAAAAACGCAGAAGCCGGCCGACGACAAACTGTGAAGAGCGACCGATCTGGAGAACATCGAAGGTACTGTGTGAGGCGACAGCATGAGAGGAAGCCATGATTGAGTGACGTTTCTTGATTTGATAGAAGATGAGAGGTTTTGAAGATGCAAACACTGTGCAATGCTTTGCTAATTTATAGACTTAACATGCAGGAGGTGAAGAGGGCCAGATGGGGAGAAACTTTAATGAGAATCAATGGGTGGGAATCAATGGAGGGGGGAGGGTTAGTTTGATCCATGAGGGAGTCGAAGAGATTCCAAAAAAGAGTAGTGGAGTTGCGACGGCAAGAGTTTTTTTGTAAGACTATTTTTAGAAAACCCTTTAAAAAAGCATCCTCAACAAACGCTGTGTTTTTGTTATACCAAGGAGAGCTCTTTTACATCAAATATCGTACCGGTTTGGGTGAGAGAAACCCGGGTAAGTTTGCTGACGTGGCTTCATTAGGGAGAGGCAAAAAGTACCCCATTATATATATGATTTCTCCTTTTTGTCACACTAAAATATATTTGTCCATATATACATTTGATGAGACAGTTTGTCTCATATCAAATAAATTGTGGCTTGGCACAGCAAATCAGTAATCAGAACAAAGTTCTGATCCATATATAGTAGGATCTTTTAGCCATCTAAGTCCTTGTCAAAATTGGACGGAAGAGATAAATGCATTCTGTCACAGAAAAAATACCATACCACTTAACTATAATAGCAATCAAAAAAGAGATGTTGCCTCGGCTCTTCAGAGCCACATCCCAACTCTGCAAACGGTCTCTTATAACCATTATATTTCTCGCTGTAATCCTAACGATAAAGGCATGGTTTGGGATCCTTCCCAATAGTCAAATCTGTTCGAACCAATAAACAGCTTCTTGTCGTTGATGAAGAGCTAACCACGCCTAGTAGATGAAAGATCCGGAGAAGTAGACTCATCTCCTCTTGTCCAAAAGTATATATCACCACATTCTGAGGTTATAATTGGCATCAGGTCACACAAGGATTGCATTGCATCAGAAATTGTATGATTATGTTCCTACTCCTACTTCAGTTCAACCACCAAAACCAATCAACTAAAGCCTCTGCCTACCGCATTGACTGATTACCCTGCAATTGATGGACCTCTCTCACCATCAATTCTATTAATGGCCCAAGGCCGGTCCAATTATCATACCAAAAACAAGCAGTAATCCTAAATCGCAATTCACAGTCCAACATCGGACATGCAAGCCGGCGGAGCTTGCTGATACTTTTCCAAACCAGCTGCCATGTTGCCGAAAGTTAATATCCCAAAAGTTTGTCCTGGCCAGTCAAAGTAGTCATCTAATAACAACTAACACCAAAGTAAATATCCCTCCATTTTATATTAAGTGTTACTGTAAAAAAAAAGCTTTTTATTATAAAATAAGTGTCGTTTTCAATTTTCAATACAAAAATTATATTTTATATTATAATTTATTTTTTATTGGTTAAACTATGGTTAAGTATATATATAATTGTGTTTTTATATAGAAAATATGTAAAATTAATTGTTTTTTTAATAATTCGTGCGTACAAAGCTAAAGTATTTAGTTAATCATATTCAATAAAGGTTCTTAATAGCCGGCCAATTATATACCAATGTGTTTTTACTCTTCATATAATAATAAATGTTAATCATGTAAATTATTGGGGAAAATTGTCAAATATGACTCAAAACTTGATTTGAAATGCAAAAGTAAACCCAAACTTGAATCAAATGCAAAGTAACTTAAAAGGCTATTGAAATTACAACTAACCCCTTGTGAACAAACAAAAAATGTATTTTTTTTTACGTTTCTAGCCCTCGCAAGTCGTCTGGGACAGTTTTTCTTAAAAATAATTTAAAAATTGTGTAATAAATATTTTGATAAATGAAAAATTGGAATTATGTAATTAACATATGTCTTAAGAGATATAAATTAAGATATAACAAAAGTCAGTTGTTTTCAGCATAGATGAGTGAAAGTAGTGAGTCATGATATTCTTTAGTTTAGGTTTCTCCAACATATGTTGTAGTATTGTATGTGTTTCTTAGGGTTAGATTTTCGAAAGTATAAATGTTTTTTTGAAAAATTAAAAATTTACCTAAGTGTGTTTATTTCTGTGTATTGTAAACAATATTTAAGTATAATTTGATATTATAACGTGGTAGTTAGTTAATTTAGTCAATTTAGTTTAGGGTTTAGGGTTTAGGGTCTGGACTACTTATAATTAAGTCTTCTGGTAAATATATTTAATAAGGCAGACGACTTAGTCGTCTTATAGTATCAACAGACAACTTAATTATAAGTTGTCCAAACCGGATTTTACCAAATTACTTTTAAACCTAACCGTATTTTTACCGGACATATATAAGATGTTTTTTTCTTTTTACTCACTTTTTCGCGAAATTCAGAAAACTGTAACGCCGTTTCTCTCAAAGGTGATTTCGAGGCGATTTCGATCTGTTACAAGACCAAGGTAAATCGAAGGCTTCTCTTGCAGATTTATGGGTTTTTATTAGGATGGATGTTGTTTTCCTTTACTTTTACCGTTTAGTTTTGTGTTTTCAACTTTTTTATAACACTGTAACTAGTTCGAGCCGACATGGTGTCATAACATACAAAGAAAGAAAAGGAAAAAGATAGGTGTCAATAGACACCAAGAACGAAAAGAATAAGAAATCTCACCAAAGCCTTCTACACTTGAGCCTCCAAAGCAAGTAGATGATGAAGCCAAACTGGACCGCCTTGAGCAATATAAGATTGAAGGCGCAAATCACGAGTGACACTCACCGCAATTGACGTTGCTGACTCATTGCGGGCGGGACGAACGTGGTCTACACTCCAACAATCAATCCGTGTGAGTAGATAGCGGATATTGTGGCGTATATGGCTGAAGATATTGTTGTTATCTGGATTTGTGATAACTCCATGGAGGCTTTCAGACGCTGTTTCGAAGATTATATTAGAGAAGCGAAGATTATGCATACATTCCACCGCCCAAAAAAGAGCCCATAACTCTGCTTCAACTACTGTACGCATGCACGAGTAAGATCGACGACTATGCATGATTGTAGACCCATGTTCATCACGTAGAATCCATGAAGCACCAGAAAGATGGCTCGAATTTAACCATGAGGATCCAACATTACATTTAAGAAATCCATGTGGTGGTTTTTTCCATCCTCTCTGAACCGTCTCATCCGCATCACTACTACCTTCATTCTTACATGAAAAAGTATCAAACCATGTGAATTCTTCTTCATAGGCTCGTTTTGCAATCACAGACGGTGGTAATACTTTATTTTCAAAAATAAAAGCATTCCTAGATTTCCAAATTTCCCATAACAACCATGGGAAGACATTCCTTGTATGTATATCCGTACTAGAACTTGAGCCCATCTTGATTAAATGTACAAAATTTAAAAAAGTAGAGTTTCGAGAAAAACCACCTAAGGGAGTAGGGAAATTCGATTGCTCCCATGTATTACGGGTTTTATCACATGTAAAAAGAACATGACAAATACTCTCAGCACCATTGCCACACAATGAGCATGTGGGATCGACCGGAATACCCCTAGTATTCAACCGTTGTTTGACCGCCAACGCACCAGACAAAGCACGCCACATAAAATGTTTTATTTTTGGTGGGGCTTTAATTTTCCACAATTTCCTCCATAACTGTTTTTCAATTGGTGTCAGAGAATGTCCCTGTGGTTGATCAAAATCCATTAGATCCTCCAGTAACTTATACCCACTCCGCGTTGAATATGAACCATTTGGTGTGAAACCCCATTTAATTGAGTCATCCAATATAATTGAAGGTTTTAAAAGAAGTATCCGTTGCACATCCTGTGGAGTAAAGGTTTGATGGAGCAAATTAATATCCCATTGACCTGATCCCTCAATAATCAAATCTGAAACTTTTAACGCTAAGTTTATGGAACTTCCGTCACGATACATTGGGGGTCTTGGAATTGTATCGATAATCCAATTTTCAGCCCATACATTAGTGTCCGCTCCATTACCAATATGCCGGTATAATCCTTTTTTAAGTAGTTCTCTACCATGCATGATACTTCGCCAAGCATATGATGGCCGAGTCCCCATTCCACAATCCATGAAACTTCCATTTTTAAAATATTTTCCTTTTAGAATCCGAGCAACCAAAGAATCCGGGTTATTCCAAATTCTCCACGCTTGTTTCCCCAGTAACGCCTGGTTAAAACGACCAATGTCATGAAACCCAAGGCCCCCTTGCTCTTTCGGTTTGCATAACTTTTCCCATGAAACCCAGGGTATCTTTTTTTTTTTTGTCTCCACTACTCCACCAAAACTCTATTATCGCGCTCGTAATCCGTTCACAAAGACCTTTCGGTAATCGGAAAACAGACATAGCATATATTGGGAGAGCTAATGCCACTGATTTTATCAAAACTTCCTTAGCACCCATTGATAAGGTTTTCAAATACCAACCTTGTAACCGTCCCTCCAATTTTTCTTTTATAAAATTGAGGAGGTCTTTTTTCGAACCTTGAAAACACTCAGGGAGCCCAAGATAAGTACCTTCTCCTCCTTCCTTTTCTATACCAAGGACCTGTTTTATGGCTTGCTTTGTATCTGCTGCTATCGATTTTCCAAAGATAATAGATGATTTCATGGGATTTATCATCTGGCCAGAAGCATCTCCATAAACTTTCAGACCTCTCACAATTGCTTCACTATCCCTAACTGAAGCTTCACATAACAACAAGCTATCATCAGCGAATAATAAATGATGCACCGAGGGACTATCTTTAGCCAATTTTATACCATGTAATTCCCCTTTTGCTTCAGTTCTATTTAAGACGTGAACTAACGCTTCCGCACATAAAATGAACAGAAAAGGAGATAAAGGATCCCCCTGCCGAATTCCCCTTTCTGGTCGAATGAACCCATGTGAACGTCCATTAAGTAAAATCGAGAAAGTTACAGTAGTGATACATGACATTAACCAGACAATCCATTTACGGTCGAAACCTATTTTTTCCAGTAACACTTCAATAAAATTCCATTCCACTCTAT